GATATAGTGCTACAGAAGGAATGATAAATTGTTACAGAAGGAATGATCTATTGTTACAGAAGGAATTATATATTGTTACAGAAGGATGATATATTGTTACAGAAGGAATGATATATTGTTACAGAAGGAATTATATATTGTTACAGAAGGAATCAGAATATGTTGTAACAGAAAGAAGAAGAACGATATATTGCTACAGAAGGAAGCAAAATGATATATTGTTTCAGAAGGAAGCAGAAAGATATGTTGTTATATGAAAGGAAGCAGAATTATGTATTGTTAAAGTAAGAAGCAGAATTATAAATTGTTAAAGGAGGAAGCAGAATCATATATTGTTACCGAAAAAGGATATATAGTGTTACAGAAAGAAGCAGAATAATATTTTGTTATAGAAGCAGAATGATATTTTATAACAGAAGGAAGCAAAATGATATGTTGTTACAGAAGGAACCAGAATGTTGTACGGTTATAGAGGAACCAGAATGAAGCGTGATTGCAGAAGCAGAATGATATAATGTTGCAGAAGGATGCAGAATGATTTGGTGTTACAGAAGGAAGCAGAATGGTATAGTGTTACAGCAAGAATGAGAAATATATGTTGTTACACAAGAAAGTACAATTATGTATTGTTTCAGTGGGAGACTGCTATATTGTCACATAAGGAAGCAGAATGATGTATTGTTACATAAGGAATCAGAATGATGTATTGTTACTTAAGGAAGCAGATGATGTATTGTTACATATAGAACCAGAATGATGTATTGTTACATAAGGAAGCAGAATGATGTATTGTTACAAAAGGAAGCAGAATAATGTATTGTTACATAAGGAACCAGAATGATGTATTGTTGCTGAAGGAACCAGAATGATGTATCGTTACATAAGGAAGCATGTATCGTTACATAAGAATGAGAAATATATGTTGTTACACAAGAAAGTACAATTATGTATTGTTTCAGTGGGAGACTGCTATATTGTCACATAAGGAAGCAGAAAGATGTATTGTTACATAAAGAACCAGAATGATGTATTGTTACATGAGGAACCAGAAAGATGTATTGTTACATGAGGAACCAGAATGATGTATTGTTACATGAGGAACCTGAATGATGTATTGTTACATGAGGAACCACAATGATATATCGTTACATAATGAACCAGAATTATGTATTGTTACATAAGGAAGCAGAAAGATGTATTGTTACATAAAGAAGCAGAATGATGTATTATTACTGAAGGAACCAGAATTATGTATTGTTACATAAGGAAGCAGAAAGATGTACTGTTACTGAAGGAACCAGAATGATGTATTGTTACTGAAGGAACCAGAATTATGTATTGTTACATAAGGAAGCAGAAAGGTGTATTGTTACATGAAGAACCAGAATGATGTATTGTTACATAAGGCCCCAGAATGATGTATTGTTACTGAAGGGACCAGAATGATGTATTGTTACTGAAGGAACCAGAATTATGTATTGTTACATAAGGAAGCAGAAAGATGTATTGTTACATAAGGAAGCAGAATGATGTATTGTTACTGAAGGATGAAGAATGATATACTGTTGCAGAAGGAGAAAGAGAGATCTACTGTTAAAGAAAGAAGCAAAATGAAGAAGAATGATGTGATGTATTATTACGGAAGGAAAATTATGCATCGTGACATAAGGAAGAATAATTATGAATTGTGGCAGAAGGAAGCAGAATGATATATTGTTACAGAAGAAAAAAGAATGACCTATTGTTTAAGAAAGAAGCTGAACTATCTATTGTTACAGAAGGAAGCGGAATTATACATTGTTACAAAAGGGAGTAGAATGATCTATTGTTACAGAAGGAAACAGAACAATACATGTGTAGTGTTACAGAGGAAGGAGAATAACACAGTGCGACCGAAGAAAGCAGAATCATGTATTGATACGAAAGGAAAAGGACATATCGTGAAAGAAGAAGCAGGATGATGCATTGTTAGAGTAGAATGATATATTGTTACAGATGTGGAAGCTATATTGTTACAGCAGGAAGCAGAGCGATATGTTGTCCTGTAACAACACGTCATCGGCGATGCAAGGTGTATCAATGAACTATTCTGTGGAAGAATTAAGACATCATCATTCTTTTTCATAGACACTGATTTCTGAATGTCATATATAGTTCCCTATATGTCGTTTGTTCCTGTGTTATTTTCATAGACACAAAGTCAGTGGTATCATTTCTGAAAAAAAGACTTATACATGTACTTGTATATGTATTTATATAACATTTATTTTTATCACTTGGCTAACACGTAAAGATGATTCAATAGAAATCTCATTGGTATTGTCACGGGCAGTTCCTTCGAACGGCTGTAGTACGTGAGTTGGTATGCCTGTGGAAGTTGAAAACTCGAACTAACTGAAATAACGAGTGTGTGTGAGCAGAGGAAGACCCGTGAAGATCCGGGTTAGAATAGGTCTTCAGCAGCCTATGCTTGCCGTAAAAGGCGACTATGCTCGTCGTAAGAGGCGACTAACGTGATCGGGTGGTTAGACTCGCCTACTTGGTTGATACTCGATTATTAACAGACCGCGGAATATTGTGGAGTGCGGCGTTAAACAACACTCAGACGAGTAGAGGAATGTTTCAGTCAAATCATGGCGTGTCAGGAATGTTTCAGTCTCATGATGGCGTGCCAGGAATGTTTCAATCTCATCATGGCGTGTCAGGAATGTTTAGTCATATCATGGCGTGTCAGGAATGTTTCAGTCTCATCATGGCGTGTCAGGAATGTTTCAGTCTCATCATGGCGTGTCAGGAATGTTTCAGTCTCACCATGGCGTGTCAGGAATGTTTCAGTCATATCATGGCGTGTCAGGAATGTTTCAGTCTCATCATGGCGTGTCAGGAATGTTTCAGTCATATCATGGCGTGTCAGGAATGTTTCAGTCTCACCATGGCGTGTCAGGAATGTTTCAGTCATATCATGGCGTGTCAGGAATGTTTCAGTCTCATCATGGCGTGTCAGGAATGTTTCAGTCTCATCATGGCGTGTCAGGAATGTTTCAGTCATATCATGGCGTGTCAGGAATGTTTCAGTCTCATCATGGCGTGTCAGGAATGCCCCAAGTGGCGCTGGTTGCCATCCACATCTACATGTATGGTGCCGACAAACCAAGGATCATAATCAGCACGAATCTGATCAAGGGATTCTTTTACGATAAAGGGACACAACTCTGCACTCTACGACGTCTTATACAACTCAGCCAATGCCCTAATCTATTATACGTTGAAGGTTATTTATGAAATCCTGGTTGTTTGTAATTATTTTCCTTACACGCAAAACTATTAATTTGATTGATTAGTTTACTGTAAACTGAAGAGGGCTTCTTACTGTCAGGTGTAAACTTTGAGTTCTTTGTTTAACACACTGACGACATTATTCTGGCTAGGAAATCATTACATATCGTTTCAAATGGGTGTTTCCATATTATATAAATGTAGGTAAACGAACAGGAAACAGTTTACAGCAACGTTTGGTTCAATTAAGTTCACAACTGTACCAGCGCTTCTCGTTTTGCCTTACGGAAACACAACAAACATATACGCGATCCTTCATAAGATTATATATTCAAAACATCAGACAAATGCTTGCAATTAAATATGGATCTAATATCTTGAAATCTAAACAAAAGAGGATATGGAACCATTTAGGTCACACAAATACACCAAATGTGAAACATATCAAGCGAATTATCTGCACAAGACTAAAGGACATGTATGCACAAAGCACAAATCATGTGTGTTTATCACATGTATTTTCATTTACGTTGGAATAATACATTACCAAATTTCCGGAATTGTTATATCCTACTTTTTAAATATCCTGCCTCTAATCATTTTTTGATCATCGAAGTTGGGAAGAGAGAGCAAAGATACGATATATCCACCTTGAAACGTCGAAATGTTGGACGTATTCCACTTATTCTGTTTCAATGTCATTTCTTTGTCAACATGTGTGTTGGGGGGGGGCAGGATACGTTCACCTTTTCGCGAACACATGGTATAATTTTTTATTTGATAGTAATTCATGTTCATTATACAGTCGGAATCGTAAACCGACAAGTCTTTAAGTAGTGATTTCATGATGCTATGGAAAGTTTTGTCACTTTTATTGTTTGATTGGGAAACGGATCTGTACATGGATAAAAGCAAGAGCTTCTGTCAACTTTACACTTGTAAATGAAAAATTCTTTGTCTAAAATTTAAAGTTATTATTGATAGTCATGTTTCACACAATATTATCAAAACTTTGGTTGATAGCATACGAGAGTATCGATCCCGGACGGAGACCCTGAATGTTATTCAACGCTGCAATATCAACGCAACAGAGTTAGAAACTGGCAGCTATTAGCTCTAGTCGTATTGCACGAACCAGAAGTCATAATAGTCATGATATTTAGGGTATCCATGGGACAAAACAGTGAGTTGGGTTTAGCGCTGCTTTGAACAATATTTGAGTTGTTACAGCTTGATGATGGAGCAAAGGAACAAGTGATGCAACTGATGTTCACCACTTTAGTGCAACCAACTAATACCGGTATGGTGCTAACACACCAAGAACCATAATCAGGGCCAATCTAGAATTCGAACCCTCGATTGGAAGTTTCTAGCCCAACTAAGGGACGCAACTCCGCACAATGAGAAGGGTTGTTATGTGCACATGACAATTATAGTATTACGAACATTTACGAGCGCTTCTCATCCACAATAGTAACATCATGATTAATATAAGCGCCCGTGGGACCACAGGTCTCCAGTAATATATGCTTGTCGTAGGTCAACATTAATGAATTAGGTGGTGCGACTAGTGACAAATGTGTGCCCTGTTGATGTGGATCATTGTCAACGTTTTCAATGGTTTGTCTCGATTATATAGAGGGTGACTAACAAACCACCTACTCACCTGATGAGCAGTCCTCCACCTGTGTGCAGCCAATACAGGTAAATGAAATAACAGACAGTTTGACCACATAAGACTTTATTACATCCTTCCGATCAATGACAGTATATCGCAGCTAGAGGTCCTGTGTATCACCCTACATAAACAAATACATCTAGGTTAAACAGACACCCCCACTGACTCACAATATGATCAATAGGGAGAACTTCCATTTAATTCACAATAAAACAAATGATATTAATTATGAATAAGATAGAACATTACAAATACTGACAAGGGAATTAAGATCAAATATTGCGTAGAATAATGAAAAAAACATCGAAATGGTGACCATCATGATCAAAGGATATCTTAGATAAAAAACGAAACAATGCCTAAATATTGAGTGAGCTGTTTTGTGTCACATCACCATCACATGGTGCAACCAGCAGATTCTGCCTATCCGACACATGAGACACATGTTGCAACAAACACAAACACACTTACATTTATGGATTTCCAATTTCTGAACCAATTGAAGATGGAGGGTAAACAGAGTTTATTGACAAACCAAAACAATAATTCCTCCCGAAGGCCAAATATAAATTTCTTTCATGAATTCAAAGCTCAAAAGCTAACTACAGGGTATGATAATTCTATTACATATTGCTCCTTAACCATAAAACTATAAAATAAACAATAGAAATGGCAAAATAAACAATAGAAATAGCATGTAAAAAGGCTTACTTTTTGTTCTTTCAAAAACCGGGACTAAAAGGGAATCTTTAAGGTACAGATTATGCTGATTGACATTCTTGACAAGGGTTAACAATGTACCAGGTCACCATGGTAACCTGTCATACAAGAGCAAGAATATACAGATGAAGCAATACATACATAGATCTCTTGGAAACTAACCCAACACAAGTGCTACCTCCATCATGTTAATGTTAGAATCATAAATGTTGTGCATACTGATACTCAGGATGTGTAAAGGAGGTGTCACAGCCTTAAATAGATTTAGCTTCTATTTGTTGTAGTATCCGCATCTGTAGATCAGAGGAGTGAATCTCACTGGAATGTGTGAACTGAGACATTCTCATCAAAACATAAAACTCCACATACTGGGCCTAACTCACAACACAGAAGGTAAAATCTATGATTTCATCCTATACACATCATGAGCGTTGACATAAAACATTCTTCACCAAATCAGAACATACAATCATCCTAAATTCCAATGACAAACTCATATTTTGATTTTCTTATTAAGACTAGACCAATTTATTTTCTTGTTTCACATATTTTTGTAGTCCCAAATATCAAGAAGCCAGGTGCAATAAAAGGTTTTTAAATGTGGTAAGTTTTGTTATGCAGTCAATAAATAAAGAAAACTTAATAAAAATTTAAATTCCAAAAATAATTTTGAAAATATTGAAATACTTGTCCAAGAGATTCTGTATCATATGTATGTTAACAACCTTTCTTTCTAATAATTCTAGGGTAAAAAAAAGACTTACTTTCATTTGAACAATTAATTTAGAGCATCAAGAAAAGTTTGGGAAAAGCTGATCTGTCAAACAAGACAGGAATTTGGTCTGGCCTGGAAATGTTTTTCCAGTCGATTTCATCTGACAATGACTGGAGTCAAGATGATGAATATATACATGTGTTGTACATGTTGTAACTGTGAAAAACAAAAATAAGAACTATACACAAAATATCCAGTATATACATCAACAGAAGACATCATATCATATACACTACTCACAGATCCTAACACCTTCCCATCAGACAGTGGGCACACATCTCATCTAGGTTGTAGTATATAGCTTCCTAGTACTAAATCATATATTGAACCCTAAAACTTGGTTTACTGTAACCTTATCCACAATGCTGTAGATAATATTCGTAATGTCGAATAAATATCTGAACAGCTCCAATAATTAATAACAAATATGCCCCAGGATCAATGTAACATATTATAAGGGTAACACTATTTTTCAGGGCATTATCATTTGCAGTATCCTGAGGTCTTCCATTAACTGCCCAACGAAGGAGGGCAGTTGAAAAGACTGAGGGCTTCTGCAAATGATAATGCCCTGAAAAAGACCGTTACCGTTATTATAGCTAAAATGGATGGAATTTGTTATCAAATAAAAAGAAACAATATCGGTTTTGAAACATTTACTGCAATCAACACGAATGTCACTGACCCACTTTTACAAATATGAAAACATCATAGAACAAACCAGACTATGTCACTATTAACAGTGACGTCACTATCCCTACCCTACGACGTCACCTGACAACGGAAGTGATAATGGCCCGTTGTTACATGTGTTAAGCAATATGAGGGCATTATCAAGAAACAGTGGCACGCCGATTGCAGGCGGTTTTAACATGCAGGCGGTTTAATGATAATTCTACCCTTTTTAGCTATAAATGTGCATATTCAATCAAGTTTATTTTCCTAAGTTACAGAATTGTTTTCAGGCTCATAAGAAAGCCAGACATTTTTCAGCAATAGTTGGCAATATTGTTTGGCTGCTGGCTTATATATATGTATATCCATAGTGCCTAGCTAACACTGGTATCCAACACAGATACATCACCCGTGAACTTCCTATTTCACAGTTCAACCATACTTTCCATTTGAGATGCGAGTTATTACAGTGGAAACTGTGTAATCAGGACACCCAACTTCCACATGATTAGTTACACAAAAACCTTCTGGGCAGGATTGATGAAAGCTGGATCACCCACGCTAACAAGGCTTCATGTTGTGATACATACTTAGAAACCAGCCCACCAATATATCATCTTGGTTATCTTATGATATGTAATGTACAATGTATGCTGAGCACATGTCTATGCTATTGATTGTACTACAAGCACTCTATTATCATGAAATTGTGAGGAAATTCACAGGTTCCTTAAAAGTAGACATCAATGATATCGGATCTGTTTCAGATGAGTTGTACATTTGTTCTATCTGGAATGGCTTCAAGCGGTATGTCCTCATCTTGTCTATTCGTTGGCGTGCATGGTGGCTTTTGAGGTCTGAAACAAATATATAGTGTCAATATTTGTCATATTTACAAAGTTTACTAACAATATTAACTAAATATGCTGAACCTACTGGCACTCTTCGTCATGATTCTCACAATCACTGCACATCTTATCGTCATCTCTAACGGCAGAGTATTGCAAACAGTGAGTTATCTCCCTTTGACTACAAAATGTGAAAAACGTAGAGCTCTCCAAATATTTCTACTCTCAATTTGAGTGCTTCTTTCATCAGTAGACTTGACAGAGCAGTCGCTTGGGACTATAGACATGAAGAATGTGATTCACACATTGTATCCACAGGGGTTAACTGTCTACAACACGAGGGACACACACATCAACTTGAGGCTATGTCTACTGCATCTTTCAACATGTTCAAAGTTTAAAATTATTCCTAAAACTTGAGTATGTAATAGCATGATCTAAGAGATCAAACCCTTTCATTGGCAAATATATTCACGGTAAGAAAAATGTAGTGTTATTCTAACCAATTGCTTATTGATTTGTTAGTTTAAGTTGAAAATTTAAAGGGTATTTTTTCTACTTTGACCACCTCACAGGTAACAGGTATACTAAAGATCTTTTATAAGGACACCTTATTTGCTGTTTGACACATTATTTCACAACCTCCTTGTGACAAAATATCAAGAAAGCTATGACCAATCATGATCAGATACACAAACTACTGTTCACAGAAAATATGTTCATGATGCAACTGTCTCCCAGTATTTACAGTAAATGTGTTCATGATGCAACTATCTCCCAGTATTCACAGTAAATATGTTCATGATGCAACTATCTACCAGTATTCACAGTAAATATGTTCATGATGCAACTATCTACCAGTATTCACAGTAAATATGTTCATGATGAAACTATCTCCCAGTATTCACAGTAAATGTGTTCATGATGCAACTATCTCCCAGTATTCACAGTAAATGTGTTCATGATGCAACTATCTCCCAGTATTCACAGTAAATATGTTCATGATGCAACCATCTCCCAGTATTCACAGTAACCAGGAACACAGTGAATTCATTCATGCAACTAACCACTATTCAAATGCATTCATTGTTCATGATGCAACTAACTGTGATTCACAGGAAATGTGTTCAAGAGCAGATTCCTTACTCAGCTTTCACAATATTCTTACTGAATGTGCTCACCTGTAAAATTGCGACGATCAATCCAAACAATCCAATAGCACTGCCAAAAATTTCGATGATAAGAATTTTGACAAAGAGACTAGAGTTGGCAGCATCTGCAAGAGCAGCACCAGATCCAACAATGCCAACGCACACGCCACATGCCAAGTTAGTGATTCCCACGGTCAGACCAGCACCGAACATCATGTAACCTGAAACATTGTATCAACACGATCAGTGTGGTTAGTTCATCTGGTTGGTACATATTTTTCAATGACTCTGTAACACATTTAAAGTCATTATGTAAGTTCTTATAGTTTCAGTTACTTCAACATTTAAAACACGACAACAGGAATGCATTGATTACGCAGAGTTTGAAATTAAGGGGAGTACTGCAGAAGTTTGCTGTTGCAGTTAAATTCAAACACTGGTAGTTTTGCATTCATAGATATCCATCAAAATATTTACGTAAGTTACTGATTATCGCACGGTTTTATATCAAGACAAACAATGTATGAATTCTATACAAGGAAAAAGGGTTAATTCTTCCCCGCCCTTAAGGCGGGGAAGTATACAGGAAACGTTAAATTTGTGGCATGTATGTCGACATGTTGGTTTATTTGAAATTTCAAGCCACGCATTTACGGAAACAAAACATACAAATCATGTGCATCGAATGTTGATGCTATTCTTTTCCAGCAATAAGAGAAACTTCAAAATCGTCTTTATGTAGTTAATTGATGCATCTGACCGTTTCTGGTCATTAGCATGTGTAATCCGATGTCCTTTTTTCCTCAAGGACTAATTTTCTGATTTTCACGGTGTATACAAAAGAAGAACTGTGCTCCGGAGATCGTAAATAACAGCATAATAAAAATTATGTTCTGAATATGCTTATTCATGAACAACGACGACATCTCAATTTAAATGTAATATGGCTGAATTCCATATTCTACATACCACACTTTTGATTGTTTGGATGCTCATGTTCACTGGAAATATTTGGAATAGTTATATTCCGTAATTTGAATTAACCCAGTCCCCCGTGTGTGTTTTTTAATCAGTGCACCGCACATAACCACATGTGAAACGTTTGGTAGCAAAGTCAAAGCAAAATCGGAGTAGTGTGTCAGCGAATTTGCATCAAGGCTGTAGTATTTTTCAACCGTTTAATGGAATTCAATGTACAGCCGTAGCTCTGGTAATTCATATATTTTGTGTCCCATAGCTCAAATCTATTTGCGTCTGTACCGTGTTCCACTGACCTCGATAATCTGTTGGATGAAGGCACAGCTCTCTACAGCCACAAAGTTAACACCGAAGGCTATGAGGAGTATTTAGGTCATAATCAGTCCCCAGCAGCCACTGCCTCAAGCGATATTGTCTACATAACAGATCAGTTTTATGGCTCCATCACAGGTGCTCCAAATATTGAAGCAGGGAAAACAAATTTCATAGAATCATTTCAAAAAGCAATATTGATATCCCCGTCACTTTTGGTAACTTTTAATGATGTCTCCATTGCAATTTTTACGGATTTCGATTCGTATGCATTATTTGACTGTATGCATTATTTGACTGTCATCAGCGGAATGGTCTTGGTCAGATTGATCCGAATGGACAAGCGGTTTTACTTCTGTTTAGTAGTATGGATGAATTGTCATGTTACATCTTAACAGTATATATATATCAGGCTACTATGCTTGTCGTAAGAGGCGTCGATCCCAATTGCGTGGATCGATGCTCATGATATTAGGCACTGGATTGTCTGGTCCAGACTCGATTATTTACAGACCGCCGTCATATAGCTGGGATATTGCTGAGTGCAGCGTTAAACGACAAACCAATCAATCATCATCATATGAACTCAAACCAGTCATTGTTACAAGTAAACCACATTCCACAACAGTTACTGACACTGGATAAAAAACAGTATATAGAAAAAAACCAAGTAACGCAACTCATCATGATCACAATTACTATTCTTTGAAAGAAAGAAATACAAAAAAAAAAACTGACCAAAAAACGTAAAACAAGAGACGAGGAATCTCCGTTATTGATTAGTCCCGGTATTGAAATGTTCTCCAACTACGTGATAATATTTTGAGTATGTGCATCTGTGGTTGTGACAAAAAGACCTTATCTAGTATGACTTTTTTTGCCATATGGAGCCCTTAGTATTTTCATTTACATTATTATAACCAAATGCTAAGTGTAAAAAGAATGTGATCTATTTTTTGAGTATTTGCATCTGCCAATGTTGTTGGCAGTTTTGATACTATTTCCACATGTTTACATTTGTGCCAGAAATTGCTTCCATTTCCTTCGATCTACTTTTTAAATAAAGACCCAGGTAAGAATAGGTCTTCAGCAACCTATGCTTGCCGTAAGAGGCGACGAACAGGATTGGGTAGTCAGGCTCGCCGATTTGGTCGATGCATAACATCATATTCCAATTGCGTAGTTCGATGCTCTTGGTGTCAATCACTGGATGATCTGGTCCAGACTGGATTATTTACAGACCTCCGTCATATGGCTGGAATAATGCTGAGTGCGGCGTTAAACAAGAAACTATTTTTAAATAGACCTACCCTATGCAAATGTATCAACTGTATTGCCCAATACTCAAAATAAATAATATTTTTTTCCACAACAGCGTTGTTATTTGTGGTTAATATAATTATGCTCCCTCATGCCTTTCAGTAACATCATAATTATGCGTTTGTGAGGCATCACATATGGCGGGGAACTTTGATGCTCTGCATCAATGTTTTCTTGTGTGTAATGTTGAGATTCTTTGAGCCTACACACACTAAACTGCCTGCAATCAAAGGGAAATAACTCTGTAGTAACTCAAGCCTGAAGCTGCAACTGCTTTGGGCATCACACCATTAGCAGTTAAATTAGCCTTGAGGACATAGTTACAGTTTGACAAACATAAGCCTTGTTACTGAGATCGTACATACGGCTTTAATCCACAGAGAACTAATAGATATTAATGATCCCTACCTGCAGCATAATTTTGGTAGAGATTCTCCTTGCTTTCCATCTTGGTGATGTCAAAATACTGAAAAAAGAAAGAAACAAATCAGCATCTTTCGTTTTCATCTTACAAAGATAATAGGCAACCTTTAACCACCAAACACATAATTGTTCCGACTTTTTTTCCACAGAGTCAAGCCATTAAAACATTCACAGCACGAAATGGAGTGTGTTGAAAAGGGAGGTAACTTCTCAACAACACTATAACTGATGTGAAAAAAACTTGTTGAGCATGTTAACATGGTTAAATGAGGTACTTGTACCATGTTTACTGGTTCTACATTCAAACATTCCCAAACTCTGAGACACCAGTCCTGGGTTTCGGAGTTTCGAATGTAGTTCTTCTGACCATGACACGTGAACAAGGCTTTCCTCCATCATTCGTGAATACATACAGCTGCTTTGCAGTGAAGTTTATATATAACCAGCGGTGTTCAAATGCCAAAATTTCCTTCTTGCCCAAATGCACATAAACGTGAAAATTCTCCTTTCCTCAAATCTATTTACCCATTTGCCTGGGACGTTCTTTTCACACGGCTTCATTTCCTCAGCTGACCAGAAGTAGACACACGTCACCACTACAGCGCATATTGGTCAAAAGTATTTTAGAAAATATCGATGAGTGGGAGTTGTTTTATTGAACGACAAACAATGAGCACCAGCAATATGAGATATCAACATTATGTACAGTCTCCTTCAAACATAACTCCCTGAAAAGAATCCAACCTCAGAAATTCATATTTTTCGTGTGTCTGTTCTCCTAATACCGATTGTCATATCGTTTGGCCATTGCATTTATTAGCTTAGCCCAGCTGCATCTTTGGGGAACAACTTACTATACACTTCCCTCTCAAAAATAACGTCCAATATATGACATCAAGTTGCTAATGCATATTCAAATCTCCAGGAATGATGTCATGATAAAGATAATGTTTTATTATGAAATATACCATGCTTCATTCTTCATTGTACTTTGCTATTAATGGCGTGGCTATCTAATAGATTGTATTCATGGCAGATGGAGGAATGTACTGTATACAAAATAGTGGCAATGCATTTATGTGAGAGGAGAGCTCACATTCAGTGACTGGTACCACAAGAATAATATAGAAAATAACACAAAAATCTGGTTTTGGTAATCAACTCCCTATGGCCTTTGAAAATACAGTACGTTTAGTGAAATTCAGACACATTCATGGACCAAACCACACTTTGAGTGAGTGAGTGAGTGAGTATGGTTTTACGCCGCTTTTAGCAATATTCCAGCAATATCACGGCAGGGGACACCAGAAATGGGCTTCACACATTGTACCCATGTCGGGAATCGAACCCGGGTCTTCGGTAGACGAGCGAACGCTTTAACCTTTAGGCTACCCGACCACCCCACCACATTTGAGGACTGAGGGTGGTTTGGTCCTTGAATTTCGCTAAGAAGTCCTGTGATGAAACAAACTGCAATACAAACATGGCCACAGTAATGCAGTGTTTAAAGTTAAGGGGATCACTGGGGTCCTCGAGGTGTACTTCTTTAGCATCTTTGTTGTTTAACATCACACTCAGCAATATTCCAGCTATATGACGGCGGTCTGTAAAAAATCGAGTCTGGACCAGACAATCCAGTGATTGACATCATGAGCATACATCCGTGCAACTGGTATACGATACCCAAGTCAGTGTGCCTGACCACCCGATCCCGTTATTAGCATCTGAATCTAAATGTTCAACCATTAACATAAGCTTTATGACAAGGTCTCCTGGAGTTCCACGGTTATTTCAAACACTGAATGATGATATTGATAGACACATGATACTCGAGATAAATTATACACTTAAATGTTCAGCATGTTAAAATGATGTTTACTTTCTGGTTATCTTTCATTGCAAATATAAAATAATCTGGTTTGTGTTTTTCATATCATGAGCAGGTCTTGCAAAATAGACAACAGGCAACTGACTATCAACCAGGGGCCCAGAAACCGTCATATGCACCGGACATGTCCGATTGGGAATCTCAAATGTCCGGTTTAAAATATTGCTTACCGGACATTTAAATTGTTCTGTCCGGAAATTCTTAAATTTTGACCGGACATGATCAACAGTTAGTACTGAGCAGTTTCTGTCTGCAGTTGTAACATAATGAAGATTATCTACACTGACAAGCTTTGTTTGTTTTGATTGCTGTAAATACATCATACTTTCATGATAGTCCAATCGGTCAATCACTGTAAAAGGCAATAAACTGAGTTGACACTGATTAATCGAGGATTAATTACTGAGCAAATCTTGTTAATTTGAGTGAAAGGTGTTTACAACTGTACAAATACCTTGCATCATCGATGTACCTCATTATCCTCACAATGCTACGATACGTAACCTCAGACAAGAAGCAAAAGCGTGACCACAGCCAGTCGACCGATGCAGATCAGTCGAGCGGATCTGCCAAACCCTCAAAGTCTGGACGATCATTTTGTAAGTCGTGGCTAACGACTTTCACTTGGTTGACATACAATGAGGATTTGCCGACTTTATTGTTTTCAGTAGCTAGTCGTATATTGAATCTTGATTGACCGCCATTTTGCTTTCTGTGACGATCGATATCAAATATTTTTATGGTCAATAATTAAGTACAGATGAAAAAGGTATTCAAATAACTATTGCTATCGACGATATTTTAGTATTTGTGATTATATTATCTGTCTTGTTTTTAAATTATCTTTAGTTTAAAAAAAAAACTTTTCCTGTGAGGTCACGTGATAACCAAATATGGGATAATAGTCTTGATCCAAATGTTACAACGCGTACACTTGAGCAGACTCATGAATATAACTCATGAATATTAATTAGACCGTTCACTACGTAACGTTAACAGATCGTTATTATAACAGAAACAAACGTGTGTTTTCCATGTATATCTAAAATGATATTATTTGTTATTAATTGTCCTGTGAATTAAACAATTTAAATTGAAACAATTCATAATTCATCATATTATGAATACGTAACAACTTGTAATGTGTGTGAAAAGTCGTACTAAAATACACTATTTGAAGGGGGCGTGGCCTAAATGCAAATATCCGATTGGGATTTTAAATTTTCCGGACCCCTGCCATCAACTATTGGTGTATGACAACAACGTTACACTCTAAAACCGAAAGTGCCAGTATTATAAAACCGAGAGTACCAGTATTATAAAACCAAGAGTGACAGTATTATAAAACCGATAGTACCAGTAATATATAACAGAGAGTACCAGTATTATAAAACCGTGAGTGACAGTATTATAAAACCGAGAGTACCAGTATTATAAAACTGAGAGTGCTAGTATCATATAACAGAGAGTACCAGTATTATAAAACCGAGAGTGACAGTATTATAAAACCGAGAGTACCAGTATTATAACTGAGAGTGCCAGTATTATAAAACAGAGCATCAGTGTTATAACAGTCACCACTACCGTGCTCTTCCTTGATACACCTGAACTACATACCACTAAGTTGGTGCTGATGACAATGGCCATGATGATGCCGTAGATGGCGACGGCCTCACAGAAAATAATGCTGATCAGGTTCTTGGTCTTGATTCTAGGTGCCTTCACACCACCGCCGGCGATGCTAGCTCCAGTTGTGTAGATGCCCCTACATGCAACAAACACACCATTAGGAACAGAGTGTGACAAATCATCTTATCATCCACAATATTAAATCATGGTTGCAAACTGTTTCAATGAAGCAACGGTTACAAATACTTAAAACAGACATGTAAATAAAAGTTTGTAATAAAATGGGCTCTGGGGTCCTCAAGTTTTCTACTATGGGATTTGAATATAGGATCCTCTAAACATACTGAATCTATAGCTTTAGACATTAGACATGTTAGAGTCATGACAAGACCTCATTGACTTTCATGCTTTAATTTGAACACTGATTGACATAAGACTATTAGATTATAATAGCCATATCACCCTGGATTTGTTTGTTTGTTGTTTAACACCACTCTCACCAATATTCCAGCTATATGACGGCTGTAAATAATACAGTCTGGACCAAACAATTCAGTGATTGACAACAATGACATCATGAGCATCGATTCACGCAATTGGGATAAATGACATGCATCAACCAAGTCAGCGAGCTGACCACCCAATCCCATTCGTTGCCTCTTATGACAAGCATATGCGCCTTTTACGGCAAACATGGGCTGCTGAAGACCTGTTCTACCCCGAATACTCATGGGTCCATATCACCCTGGTAAACACCAATGAAGAAAACATCACAAACCTGTGATTGATTGAGTGACATTCATCTAAAAGTAAAATGTTTACTCTTTTGGTACCTTGAAAAACATTAAGCCAGGCAACGTTAGAGAGTTATGTCCATCCAAGATGGTAACCTATCCAATACAAAACGCTCTGCAGCCATTATCACAATACAAGGAGTGTTTTTCACATCACAGTCACATGTGTTCCAATTGAATCACCATGATGACAGTGACCTGATGACATGGTTAACAATCAAGTCTTGTTGACCAGGGAAGTCAGTGGTTAGCGTGATCAGTGGTAAACAGTGTTAAGTACAATGACACACTAACATCCCCGTCATGATAAATAACTACCAATTCCACATTCTGATTCCTTAATGCCTAAGACAAGAATAAAGTAATGGGGTCTATTCTGCCTTGGAATCCTGAATAGCCAACACATATTTGTGTGTTTCCGTTTTTCATGCCAACCCATCTTGAGCCCCCAGCCCTAAACCTTTCTTTCTTGTCACGTATAGTGGCACCATAGTTTTTCCTTGTTTGGTGACAGAAGATTAAACTTGTTGCGCTGACTATACACAAACCAGTTATTGCTTCAACATGGTGACACCTATTGTCACACATTTAAAATCAAATTTTAAGTATCCTTTGTTACAAAGAAAATATATAATAATAATATATACTTTATACTTTATACCCCATTTTACATGTTTTTGGATGGGTTAAATGATAAAGTAGACGCAACAAACCAATCAGAACAATGATTAATGTTAGTCCGGGTTAGTATTGATCTTCAGCAACCCATGCTCACAGCAAATGGCTGCAAGATTGCTGAAGCTGTGTTAAGCGATATTCATTCACTCACTCAGCAACTCATGCTTATCATAATAGGGGCCAACTAACTGGATTGGGTGGTCATACTCGCTGACTCAGTTGATGTGTGCCATCATATCCCATTTGTGAAGATCAGTGCTAATTTCAATCACTGGTTTGTCAGGATTATTTACAGAGGGCAGTTATACAGCTGGAATATTGCTGATGGCGGCATTAAACAACAAACAAACAATGATCAGTGTTGACACCTCAACGGCAACTCACCAAGCGGCTCCCACTACAGAAAGGGAGATGGCAAAGCCTGTTCCGATCAGAGCCCACATGTAGGGAGACGTTGACTGGAGAAACCTACAACACATAATCGCACATGTTAGAAGACAACAGTATCAGGTGATAAAAGTTATATTTTCCCCACTTTTCCAAAACATGTTGACCATGTGACTATCAAGTTTTGCATATCAATTTGATAAAATCTAAATAGTTTTTACATTTGCAATACTTATCCAGCATTACTACCTTGTATAGTTAGAAATGGTTAGAGATCTCACGGTCATAATTCTTTAGACTTGATTTAAATGAACAAGAAGCCTGTCATGCCCCATGGATCATCCTACGTACCATCCAATGTCAAACCTCTGCCCCTTGCCAGTCAAGTTGTAGTATAAGCCTGTAAAGAAAACATCCATTTGTAACTCATTTATATCACATACATGGTGAAACGTGCAGACAATATCACATGATCATATTACACATGTTGATAGCCGAGATCATGATGTTTATCAAGTTTGAGAATCATACTGTCTCTCCAAACAATGCCCAATATTTACCATTTAACATGCTTAATTATATTGATAATGGTTTGATTAGCAATCAGCAATGATCAGTTAACGTGGTGCAGCTCCAACAATGTCCAAGGCTCTATATCAGAATGGATGCAGTAGGGCTGGAACAGGTAACTCAGGTTTGGTGGGTACTGAGTAGGACCCGGGTACCCACAGGACTACCCGTACCCGTGGATTGTCATGTGATATATTGTTCATGTTGTTCAATAACAAAAATTCACAGTAACTCCATGGTTACACTACAAGTTATTAATAACCGGTAATGCTCACAGTTCTTTCTTTAAACATGTATCTGAATAATTTCTGTCAGGGCTCTGGTAAAACAACTCCAAAGGAGACATTTTGTACCCAACTTGAGACCTACAGTGGGTACCTGGGTAGGGTCAGGTACCCCGGTACTAACCTTGGACCTGTCCAAGCCCTAGGATGCAGAACAAGTATACAAAACCATCTCAACTGGCTCATGTCACAAACACTGATAGATACCTTAAGCCATGTTAAGCATGTTTAGATAAATTTTGATACAGTCCTCACATGAAATGTAGTAAAAGTAGTGAAGTACAAAGCAAGCATAAGACGCCTATAAACATGATAAAGATGATCAATGTTTGACAAAAATTATAAGCAAATATTCACAACATTTTTAACAGATTTGATTACGTGCAACACTTCATAAGACAGACCCTTTAGAATGTATAGCATGTTATTGTTAAACTATTGTTATTCCACAGCTGAACATAAATATAACTTGGCTTCTTTAGTACTTCAGTAACCAAATGTTGAAAATGTTGAACAATGTTAAACATGTTAAAAGAAACACAGGGATAAAAAGAATACATATTTTGGTAATCAAGATGTCTGCTAATGTCATGAATACTATTACAATGACAGGGATTTGTCCAGACCTGCACAGAGGTCAATATTCAGTCCCCAAGACAAAAGTCAGTCAACATTCCCAAACTGAAATTTAGAAAATCAAAACCCATAACATATTCTGCTAATGTTATTGCTTTCTAGAGGTGCTACAGTTCTATGTCTGAATTAATATCATCCATGCTTTGAACATGAGTCTTCGAACCCCTAGCGTCTAATTGTGTCGGACTAACAAACCATTTTAATGTTTACCCCGTAGACATTGTAGACATCACGATCTTGTCCTCGAACATGAACTTATCATGCCGACTGACCTAAGCATGTATTCATAAGCATTTAATATGCTTAATCCTTCACAGTTAACTTAAACTGCAAATCCACAGTGATCCTTTAAAGTTGAATTATGATCAACAGATTAATAATCTATGATCATGTTCCTGTGAGGTGCCTGTGCAGCATGCACAGCTCATAATCAACATGCTTGTTACCCAGTGATCATCTATCTTCCCAGTCATTGCAAGTAGGATTGTCCTCAGGCAAACTTATTTGGACAGATACATGAATGACATGATTTACGAGATGTGACAGTGTTCCTGGTTGCCACTGCCCTCAACATGCTCAATTTCTTCCAATAAACTCAGTTTATCAGGTTATCTTTGGTTATCGGCAACAGCAGTAAACACATGGATAACATGGTCAAGTCAACACCACCATGAGTGTATGATGGTGCTTAGTAAATAAATAGTTTGTTGGATACATGATAGAAAACAAAGATTGTTGCAGAGCTGCAGATATTTGCATAAAATACCCAAAAAACACATTCAGAACCCAATTTTTTTCAATAAACTTGCGTACAGAAATGCATGCATTAAATGAAAAACTCAAATGTATAAAAACATCATGCGTAAAAACCCAAAATGCTTTTTCAGCATGCGTACAAAGGAGCTAATTTCCGAAACACAATTACGAGATTGTTTACTTTCCGAGTAAAGTTATATACATCTAAAACATTATTTCATTTTTTTAATCTTAAAATGTTCACTCTTTTTGGAAAAAACCCAATAGAGTGATGAATAGATGAGTGAAAAAATATTGGTTACCTAGTGAAAAATGTAACAACCCAATTAAAATAGAAACCCTAGAGTGAAAACCCAATTGCTCAAAAATCTATCTGGAGCTCTGTTCTAAAAATATGTCCCATTCTGGGTATCCCCAACCAAAAAGAAGTATGATTATATTATCACTGATTTGTTTGTTGTTTAATCAATGATAATATCATATTCAGCAATATTCCAGCCATATGCAGTTACATGGTCATTTTGTTCAATCTACAAATAACTGAGTTGACCAGACAAACTAGTGATTGATATTAACAGTTGTATACCTTGATCACAGCTCTCATACATAATGATAATTACATATCATTCCCTAACATTGATTTACTTATCATCATGATCATAGGGAATATTCAACATCAGATGATGTTATATTGTTAAAGATTACAATCAGATGACAACTGGAGATGACACTGCCATGAAGGATACAAAAAAGTACAAGAAGAAGAAATTATTTAGCATTGTTGGACCTCACAAAATCAGCAGGTGAGAACAGCATCTTCCTGCTACTGCTGATCATGCTGAGCTTGAATGCCCAACATAGCTACAGTGGAATTCATCAATATCTGGGTCATCACCACCATTACAAAACTGTGTTTATATCTGCACTCATGAACATTTATCAGTAAACTTATATTAGCCTTCGGAACTACCTATCATTCTCTAACCTTCAGTCCACAGCGTATAATACTGAATTTTGATCAATATGGTATATTCTTGAACATAACAAAACCATAAGAAAATTATTATAATGGTAATTACAAGTACAACTATCTAGCTGTTTGTCTCAAAGTGTCATTTTAACAATTACACAAAATATTTCTGAACTGGAAGAAATCTTACCATTACATTACATGATCTTAATTGTTTTCAGTACTACGATTACTTACATGATGTATTAAATTGTTACACCTTAAGCATGTTTGTGACAGGACATGTTAATTTATATATTATCCAGTCAATCATGATTATCTGACAAACAAATCCAGATGATGAAGTACATGTTATACGACATAACAAGTCTATACATCGTGATGTATCAGAAATAATTACAAAACATTTAAATACAAATTTTCACCATGTTCACATCACCACAAACCATGCAAACAAAGTTTGAATCCTGGTAAAATGTCCTGTCAGGTCTTACGACTGGCCTGCAAGCGCTTATCTAACAAACTCGAACAGTAGGGCTATGACTAGGACGATGTGTGATGATGTACAAAAATAATTAATAATCTTTGTTATGCCTTTGGTTCTGGTTGTCCATTTTTGTCTTCAGATTGTCCAAAGTGATGTCAACCCCCTACCTTAACATGCTTAACATGTCCATAACTAGGTTATAACAACTTACCTCACATAAAGACCATATAAGCATACTTTCAGTTGGTCGTGTTATCACTTATATTTTAAAGAGTAAAGACAAGAAATGGCTTAGCAGGTTTGGTTTTAGAAGGGAGGGATTGAATCTAATGTGAGTACTTCCTTCAGCGGCCTTCCATATTTTCACTACTGACCCATCCATTATAGCTGATTACTGGACATGAACAGATCTAGATCAATTAAACTTGTATGAAAGGTTATGGTCATTTATTTCAATGTATCTGAATCAAAACATATCATGTGCGTTATAGGTTAATGTCTGTAAACAGTCATATCCTGGACACAGATGTGTGGTTTCACGTCATGCTAATGACAAACTGAAGGACACGACCCCCGGCTCATATACATCGCATACTCACCTAAAATTATCAAAATGGTTATCAATATCCACACAAGGCTGTGGTATACAACCTTAGCCGAGAAACCCATGGCTTTCGGGGGTGCTTTAACTGCTGATTCCATCTTTTCAGACAATTATTTTTGTGTCATTCAACCAGACCAGTCTCATATGATCACCTCTCGGTTACATACGCGAAATCACGAGACCACTAAAGGGAGACAACGTGTATTGTTGTTGACCACTAAAAAATACATGACAGGCGATTTTAAGGTAATTCTTTTTTCGTCATTGATATTTGTTCAAACAAGAAAACACTGCCACCAACCAGCATTGAAATGATTATCTAAAAGGTAGCAAAATGTTATTGCCAATTTAATAGTAGGGACAACATTGTATTCTTGCATGTACATCTCAAAATTGCTAAAAGCGGCGTAAAATCCTAGTTTTCGTCTAAATTAATATTCCGCTAAATTACGACATTGCATTTCTTTGTGAAAATATCGCAATGTATTACCTTCAGGTTTGATAGTTAATGTAATGGACCAAATACTGAAATATTATTACAACTGCACAGATCAAAGACGTACATACATCTATCTACGTCTTTGCACAATTCTTTATCTTAAGAACGTTTAAAATCATTATGTTAAGCTACTGTATCAAAGGAAATAATAAATAACTTCTATTATTACCTTCAGGGTTAGAAATAATCGAGTTCATAAAAATCGTTTTTGCACTGTGATCCTTAATTATATATGATTATAAAAGAAATATAGAGAGTGAGTGAGTGAATTGGGTTTAACGCCGCTTTTAACAGTATTACTGTTATATCACGGCGTGACAGCTTAATGTGGGAGGAAAGCTCGAAGTGATGCAGGTCTCAGACGTTTACCACTTCGGTGAAACCCACAAGCACCGGGATGGTGCTGACAAACCTGGAAACATAATCGGGGCGAACCGGGATTCGAACCCACAATCATAGGTTTCTGGCATCCCCAAGTGACGCAACTCTGCACATCGAATCGTAGCGCCTTAGACGACTTGGCCACCCGTGTCCTGCACCTTATCTAGCAAAACAAGGCAAGTCTTGAAACATGTTTTCACGTTAACATAGCATAGCGTCCAACGGGTATGCTGATAAGAACAATGTGGATTACGTAGCCCGTGCAAACTCGATTATCCAAACTAAACTAAACTATGGTTTCAATTTATTAGATATGCGTAAGATACTTGGCATCTATATAGTTAATGGAAGATTTAAATCAGATATCACAGGCAATTTGACTTCTGTATCACATTCTGGATGCAGCGTTGTTGACTATTTTATTATTTCTACTGATATTTTCACAAATTTTCACCAAATTTAGCAGCCTGTTTGTCGTGGGTTGCGTCCACGTGTCGGCAGTCGAAGGGAATCTGGTGGTTGAGGGTGCCGTAGCCGGTGGTCCAACACACCACTTCGACCCTAACTTTGCCAAGACGGGTGGTACAATGGGCCTGATTCTGTTAATAGGCTGGTCATGTCATGCCCTGTGCATACAATATTTCGCACAAACTTTTGGCATTTGAAAAGTAAATTCATTCTAAATTTCTATCCATAAACTTACTTAGAGCCCTATGCCCAGAAAGCGATGGCTCATGGGCCAATCTCGTGATGCTGACCGCCGAATTCTGTACGTCTCCTATTGATTGTCATGGGCCGAACCAGCCTGACTTTTTATTCGGTAGATAGCTGAAGTATATCACCCCTTTATCCTTGGTCTTTGCAGCTTAGAGATCCACTGCAGCATAAGACTGTCCTTGTTGCGGTGGTTCAACACACTGGTTCAACGGACGATATATAGAATCTGACAATATCTCATTTAACGAGACTACATCCAATCGATGTGACTATTGCCCACGTTTCTTGGTTATTACTGCCTCTACTGACTACCGGACTGATCTGAATCAGGCTACCGTCCTGCTGTTACCACTGCCTCTATTGACTGCCAGACTGATCTGATGCAGGTTCCTGTTCTGCTGTTACTACAGCCTCTACTGACTGCCAGACTGATCTGATGCAGGCTACTGTCCTGCTGTTACTACAGCCTCTACTGACTACCAAACTGATCTGATGCAGGTTCCTGTCCTGCTGTTACTACAGCCTCTATTGACTACCAGACAGATCTGATGTAGGCTACCGTCCTGCTGTTACTACAGCCTCTATTGACTACCAGACTGATCTGATGTAGGCCACCGTCCTGCTGTTACTACTGCCTATATTGACTACCAGACTGATCTGATGTAGGCTACCGTCCTGCTGTTACTACAGCCTCTATTGACTGCCAGACTGATCTGATGTAGGCTACCGTCCTGCTGTTACTACATCCTCTATTGACTACCAGACTGATCTGATGTAGGCTACCGTCCTGCTGTTACTACAGCCTCTTTTGACTACCAGACTGATCTGATGCAGGCTACAGTCCTGCTGTTACTACATCCTCTATTGACTACCAGACTGATCTGATGCAGGTTCCTGTCCTGCTGTTACTACAGCCTCTACTGACTGACAGACTGATTTGATGCAGGCTACCGTCCTGCTGTTACTACTGCCTCTATTGACTGCCAGACTCATCTGATGCAGGCTACCGTCCTGCTGTTACTACAGCCTCTATTGACTGCCAGACTGATCTGTCACTACTGCTTCACAAGAAAAAAAACCAGCTGTGAGACCGTCGCCTGTGAAACTCCCAAACCCAAAACTGTACATACTGTCGATTCGCAGACTCCAAAACCAGTACCTAAACCAGAACCAGAAAATGTTCAGTTTTCAAAGAAAGAAAATTATTAAAACAAAACCATCAAAAAGAGAAGCTGCAAACACCACCACCAAACGCCACCTCTACTTCAGAGGTCCCCATAAAGGTCCATCACTCCGTTGGTCCTCTGGACATGGAGATAACTCCAACTCCACATGAAACAAAAAGGAGTACAAAAAAACTACCTCACGTTCACGTGATATATCTCACGTGGAAGCACCACAATGAATCCACAATACATTATACACTAGAATTGCAGAGGTCTTAAAAAGAATTTTGATAAAATACAACTATTATTTCAAGCTTTTAAACCGTCGGCTTTTTGTCTCGAAAAAACTTAACTAAAGAACACAGATCAATTTGATATCAGTCAGTACAGTTCTTACCATTCGTTTTCCCCCTGATGATAAAACTACACGAGGTTCTCTATCCTGGTGAGGCAGAGCTTAATCCATAACCCAATTCCACTTAACACTCATCTTCAAACTGTTGCTGTCCGTGTAACTCTGAACATAGTCTTTACTTTATGTTCACTGTATCTTCCACCTTCCTCAATCTTATCTTCAGATTTTGTATGATCAGCGCCCGAAGCCATGGGCGATTTAAACGGGGGAGTAATGATACAAATAATAAAGGAAAAATCCTTGAAGATTTTATCTCAAACAATGATTTATGCATCTTCAATGATTGATCCAATCCTTGTCTGCATCCTGCTACTGGCACATACTCTGTCCTTCATCTTTTACTTACAGATTAAAATATTTTAAACGAATTTGAATGGTCGGTCCACGATGACCTTTGTGGAAGTGACCATTTTCCAACATTACATTCAACTATCAATCCCGCTGATGAATTTTAACAAGACATTTTCAGGAATGCTCCTGATCCTCTACAACTATTTTCAGACCAACTAAATGCTATTGCAGACGAAAGTATTCCTAAGTCCTCTGTGAACCGTCATATACGTAAGCCATGGTTTGATAATGATTGTAAACAAGCCAGAAAATATAAGAAGGAAGCTGAGAAATATTTCCGCCCACATGCTACCCTGGACAACCTGAATGATGTCAAGGCGAGCCGTACTTATAAACAAAATAAACGTCAATCCAGATGAAACTATGTACCAAAATCTAAAATCAACCACTAAATCTGAAATTGTCAACAAGCTGGTGAAACTTTAGCAAACCAGGAAAGAGTAAGGTCAATTTTAACTCTGACAATGGTGAGGACAACAATGAAACATTTTAACTCCATGAATTGCATACTGTCCTGGGGAAAGCTCAAGACACTGCAGCAGGAGCCGACAACATTCATCATCAGCCCCTGAAACACTTGCCCGATTAATGTTTGGAAACTATACTTAATAAATTTATATTTGATGAAATATGGACAACTTGAAATTTCCCTCCTTCGTGGCACAATTATTATATTTCCTATATTATCATTCCTATACCAAAGCCTGGACGGGATCATACAGATCCATCCGATTACCGTCCAATATCATTAAATAGCTGTGTAAAACCATGGAAGGCATGGTCAACAATCGAATAGTCTGGTACTTGGAGACCAATAACCTCCTGAGTGACATCTAGTGTGGTTTCCGAAAAGACAGAAGTACCATTGACCATTAGTGGCGTTTAGAATCATTTATTAAAAGTTCCATTGTCAACAAACATGGAAACAAGGTACTGTATCAATCTTTTTCGACCTAGAGAAGGTATATGGTACAATGTGGAAACATGATATTTTAAAGGTTTGCATGAATTTGGATGGGGGTGCAGAACACCCCAGTTTATTTCTCAATTTTTAAATAACAGAACATTTCAAGAACGAGTGGGCTCTACCATGTCTGATCATTTCGATCTAAATCAGGGCGTCCCTCAAGGCAGCATCCTATCTGTCACACTATTTAGCATAACACGTGATAGTCTCACTATAGGTTTGAACACCTGTGTTGATGGGTCACTTTTTGTGGACGATTTCACTTCTTGTCGTGGTAAGAATATGCATACAATAGAAAGACAGCTCTGTGTTAACAAAATTCAAAAATGGGCCAACGAAAATAGCTTCAAATCTTCTTAATCCAAAACAAACTGCATTCACTTTTGTCATATATACAAACCGCGCGGGCGCGCGCACACACACACACACACACACACACACACACGCACGCACGCACGCACGCACGCACGCACGCACGCACGCACGCACGCACGCACGCACGCACATGCACACGCACACGCGCACACACACACAGAACACACACACACACAAAAACACACGCACACACACACTCACTCACTCACTCACTCACTCACTCACACACACACACACTCACACAGACACACTCACATACAGAGACCACACACACATGCAATTTTGACAAAACTATACCAAAGATATAA